TAACTTTTTAGCATTTTAAAGTAAATTAGTTAGCCAGCCGTGAAGTGAACTTTCGCAGAGGTGAACAACTTGTGTTTCGCGCGCTCATATGACCTTAGCAGTTGCGAGCGCCGTAAAACCTTATACTATACATATACATAACCCTGCAATATGAGCGCACGGTAAACTGCGATGACACGAAATGACGCCTGGTGGATTTTGCAACTCATTGTCATTCTGGCTTAGGTGGGATCTGGTGGCCTCGTTCACTGTCGATCGTTACTGATAGCATTGATGAGAGTCTCTATTAACCCTCTAACCCTATACTTCTCCCTCCGAGAACCAACAATGACAACAACATTAACCCTCTAACATTTTATCCTGACTGTCTGCGGTTTTAAAAAAACCCCATCCGTACACCCAAGGGTAATAATTATTTTGTACCCCCAGGGTTGCATTTTTCACATTTTAGAATAATTCCAGTTCTAGTATAAAGATCTCTTTCAAAGCGTACGGATAGGATGAACGAGTAAATTTCCTCTTTGAAATGTGGTGGCACAGAGTTCCCCATGTCGTATGGATGCGATAGTAAAACACTACGTACGGATAGGGTTAAAAGCCAGTTAATATCCAATTTAGGATGAAATCGAGTTTTTATCGAACCAACTCGATAGTTTACAAATGGCGCAAATTTTGCCTTAGTTTGGTATCTCAAAATTTTAATAAATAAGGCGAGGAAAGAGTTTGGAAGATGTTCTAAGCAACTACAATGTAGCTGTTGAGAGGCGAATGTGTCTTTTTTTTTTAATTTGCTCTCCTAAACATTTCATGAAACTGGATATGGTGTCTTTGAAAACCTCTTCACTGCCTGGCCCCAGACTGTCTCGGGCTCTCTGGCTGGACTAAAAGTACACGCGAATTCCTGAGTTCCATCAACTATATGTGAGGCAGCGTGGTGGAATCAGGCTCTCGTCAATTTTTGGGCATGTAGAGTAATTGGTATCATTTAAAGCTTGTTCATTTTTCTTTATTTGGATGGAAAAAATATCCATTCATCTTGATTACAAGTCGAGATATTTGCAAAAGAAGGAGGGGGGGGGGGTCACCTGTTTTCAGAGGTAAAATTAGTGAGGCCGCCAAAGATTAGTTATTTACTTTGCTTAAGAGTCCGTGGTAACTGAAAATTTACATTCTTTGTGCCTTTAATCAACGTTTTTCAGAAAAATCCACACAGAAATTAGTTCTTTAATGGGAATGAAAGGTGTTGAGCCATAAAACAAAAATTTTATAAACATTCACAAACCTGCGGAAAATTGCAAGTTTCGTCACTTTGATTATTTTGACGAGAGCCTGATTCCACCACGCTGCCTCACATATATTAATCACCAGTCGTAAAAGCACATGATAAGCACCTGATTGTACGTGGCTTGATCTCTTGTTCTGTCCCTGGAAGGGCTGGTAGGGAGGAAGAGCTAGCGATGTACCAGAGATCTACTTACCCTGAACAAACCTACCCTTACCCCCCCGGGGCAGTGCCACTGACTGTAGTGTCTTTAGACCATTCCCAAAGGGGGGGACATTTCTCGTTCCAGCACAGTAGAATTGTAAATGGGCTGATTCATCATGTCACGCTCATAACTGTTCCTGATCTACAACAGGGAACTGCTGCTTTTTCCCTACTATTGTCATTTTCTTCTACTTCTTTTGTATGTTTGCCACCCTCTTGTGACCTGCTATTTCCGGGGTGGTTTGATAGTCGAAGCAGACTTTGTGCTGTTGAAGCTACAGGGGTGAGCAGAGTAAGTCCGTGGAAACTGGAAATTTACATTTTTTGTACCTTTAATCAACGTTTTTCAGTAAAATCCCCACCTAAATGGGCATGAAAGGTGCTGCGCTAAAAAAACAAAAATTCGATAAAAATTCAGAAACCTGCAGAAAAATGCCTGTTTCTTCATGGTGATTATTTCGACGAGCGCCTGATTTCACCAAGCCGCCTCACAAATGTTTCCCAACCCACCATCCCCCTCTACCCACAAAGCCTCCCACGTCTCCCAAAACCAACAAACAACAAAGACAGGCCAGGACTCACAGGCTCTCTCCTTCCCCTCCACAACAAACTGTCATCCACACATCACAACAATGTCATCATCAGAGATTCAAAACTTGGTCCACTCCCTGACCAGCTAGCCGGGGTACACAATGGGCGTTGATGGCTTTGTTAAGACTCGGCTGGAATGCAAAGGAGTCCAGTTCAAATCCCTTATTTTATGCATAAACGGAAGTTGTTCAAGGTACAAACTAATCTTTTGATTTCGACAGAGAATTTTAATTTAGTTCTAGTGAAATGATTTTGAATTTGTCACAACGTTTTTTGTTACCAATTATGGGCTATGCTCTTGATACAAACCTTTGCTACTGCCAGAGAAAAAGACATGTCTAAAAAGGAAATCTTTTAAAATCAATTCATGATTCAAAAAAAAATTCCAGTCAGAGAATGAATGGGGGGGGGGGGGGGGAACAGCCAGGGTTTAAAAGTAAAAGTTTGTTGGATGGAGGTTCTTGCTCCTGTTCTTTCTGTAACTGTCAGAGGTCACATTTTTCCTATCAGTCAGTAACCTTTACTGTGCGGAATATTTAACTCAGATTATATAAAAAAAAGTTTTTAGATCAAACAACTACTATAAAATTAATAGGCCGTTATTTGATTCTGCCTTTACTTCATCTCAATACACAATGGTCACTGAACAATATTATTTCCCAACCCTCCCCTCTACCCACAAAGTCTCCCACGTCCCCCAAAACCAACAAACAACAAAGACAGGCCAGGACTCACAGGCTCTCTCCTTCCCCTCCACAACAAACTGTCATCCACACAACACAACAATGTCATCTCCCGAGGGTAAAGACTCGGTTACCTCCCTGACCAGCTAGCCGGGTACATTATGAACGATGTTGGCTTTGTGGACACTGAGTTGAATAACATAAGACTAGTTCAATTTTTTTTTCAAAAGAGTAATGGTGTCCAAATTTTAATCTATTTCCTCGCGAAGCGTAACGATGGTGTGACTGTCACAACTTGCCCATAATTTCAAATCACTAATGAGCTATGGTCTCAAGATCTTGTTTATGTTAGAGACAATAAAAAAGGTGAGGAAAAAAAATGAAACTAAATTTACATTAAAAAGCATTGATAATAAAAGAATAGAAAGAAAGTGTGAAAGTTAGGAAGCAAAAGTTGTTGTTTGGAGGTTCTAGCAGCGTATTATTTTTTGTAACTGTCGGAGACTTCACTTTTCCCTTGCGCTAGGTGACCTTCATTATGCCGGATATTAACTAAGACAAATACATTATATAATTTAAAAAAACAAAACAAACAACAACCATACATCAATATAGATAATGCCATCTTTAAATATATTCTTATGACATTTCAGTACACCAGGAATATTTAAATAAGTATTTTCCAAATTGCCCCTCTGACCAGCTTATCTTTCATCTTTCCCCAAAAACAACAATAAACAAAGGCGGCCCAGAACTTAGAGTTCCCCACCTTTCCCTCCACGACAAGCTATCAAAACAACACAACAACGTCGTCATCAGCGATACAGGGACACCCGGTAACACCTTCTTCTCCTTGGCATACTGTCAAAACAAACAAAAACAATGTCACAATCAAAGATTTCAAACTTGGTTCACTCAGTCGCAGGCTGGTCCGGGCACACAATGGCCGCTGAGGTGTTGACACGTCTTTGATGTTAGCCGCCATGGTCTGTTGGTACGTAGTTTATCCCCCCTGATTGAGTCTTACACCTCAGGGCAAGAACTCATCAGCCTACACCAGTTGATATAAAAATCGTAGACATTAGCGTTTGTGGTCAGTTCAGTCAGAACCTGCTTCCAGTCTATATCGTTCCCTGAGTTCAGCAATCGAATTTGCGTCCCGTTGTACGACAAGGAGATGGAGAAAGTTGACAAGCATGCTGCTGCCTTCAACGCCTTGAACTTGGATAGAGGCACCTTGGTTGGCAAAGGAGCCACAGCCGAGATCGTCCTTGCGTCATCTCGAGACGACATATCCAGGAAATGTGCCGTGAAGATATTCGACCTAGCGTTATACGATGGTTGTAATGAGTGGGGCTTCATCAAGGAAGTTGAAGTCTTGAAGGAGCTTCGCCATCCACGTATCGTCTCGCTAGTGACGTCTTTGGCCGATCCTCGCCACAGATATATTGTCTTAAAGTACTATCCGAAAGGGAGCCTGGACGCGAAGTTCAGAGTTTTGGAGCCCCCGCAAGTACTTCGGTATATTCGTGACATCGGAACAGCGCTAGAATACACACACAGTCGAGGAATCTACCACCGGGACATCAAACCGGCCAATGTTCTTGTAGACGAGGAAGACCACGCAGTTTTATGTGACTTTGGCCTGTCAGGACGGTTGAAGAACGGCGACACCAAAGTGACCAGATGGAACACCAGTCTCGGATTCCACGGACCTGAAACCAAGAAAGGAGAAGAGATGTGCCCTTACAAGGTAAGAAATCGTTTTTATTGCTCAATGTATACTATTTTTACAATGTAACATATACTCCCACTGTCTGTCACTGGTTTTTGAAATTATCGTTCCTTTTACCTCAACTCAGCAATGTCTTCCTGGCATTCTAACTCTCTGTCTGTCTATAAGTTTTCTCTTTATTCACTCTCTAACAGACTGTGTGTTTTTCTGCCTGTCTGTCTGTCTGCCCCAGCCTCTCTCTCCCTCCTTCTCTCTCTTCTTATCTTACTTTCCTTATGTTTTTCTCTCCATATCTACCTACTCTGTATGAGTGATTATTCTTCGACTCCTTCTCTCTCTCTCTCTCTCTCTCTCTCTCTCTGTCTCTCTGTCTGTCTGTCTCTCTGTCTGTCTGTCTCTCTCTCTCTGTCTTTGTGTCTCTCTCTTTCTCGTTCTCTTCATTTCTATACTTTTTCTCTGTCAGCCTCTTTCTCTGTACTCTGTATGACTGTATGTAGGGTAATAGGTACCCGAAGGGACCAATTCGATTCCCATACAATCCAATTAAATTAAAAAATATATAATAAGAGGAGAGAAGTGTGAGATCATAACATGAACTTATAGCCCTCTCTAACCTCTGCAGTCATTATGAGCATTACAAAGGCTTCTCCGCGAACCCGGACAAGGGTCCTCATGTAAAGACCTCATTAATTGACAGAGGTTTGCTGCTTGTTGGGGGATTTCTGTGACGGGGGGAGGGAATTAGTGGAAGTGAAAGAGGGAGGAAGGGAGAGAGGAAGAGCAATGTGGGTAAGCGAGGGGTGAGGGAGGTAGAAAAGAGAGATATAGAGAGGGGGAGGAGAGAGGGAGGTAGGGAGGGGAGAAATGAAGAGGCA